TTTTTTTTTAAGGAAGTGCCCGGTGGTACCCCAACTGCACGGACGGGATGGTTGAGGGAGAAAGGGAGGTAGGAAAGAGGGAGGAAGGAGGAGTGGTGGTAGGATAGTGAGGAGGAAGGTGTAAGTAAGTGAGAGGGTGGTGCGGAAGGGGGACACCGGACACGTCCGTGAAGGTATTGATTGGTGTTGATTTTTTTTTATGGTTGATATTGTGATAAAAGATTTATGTTTTTGTTCTTCAATGAAAAATCAATAAAAATTTATTTTAAAAAAAAAAAGATTAGCAACATAAAAATTAACAGTGAAATCAATTGACAATGAAACATCCAATGAAAATGATACATTTTTACAGATTTTCTAAATGCAGAGACAGTAGGAGCCAAATATCTCTCCTAAGAGTATGTGTTTCACAGTCTAGGTGCAATGCAAGAAAAGATCCTCTCTTACTTACTAGATAGAAGAACATCTTCAGAATGACCTCACCTGAAGATCGCAAGAGCTGGAGTTTTAGCAAGGGAAAGGACCATGTCCATATCCAAGTCTGAACAATGGATACAAGAGCTACGGTTCAGGGAAGACATTTGCTTACCTGTGATGACCTTGGGGTCAATGTTGAAAGTGTCATTGGCTGGGTCAATTCTCCCCTTGCGGTAATATTGCTGGCAAAGCATGAGACCTGATTGGTTAGCATTGTCTGGGCGAACATAGGCATATCGTCCAATTGTCTCACTTGGAATGGCCAAGTACTGTAGGGGGAAATTACCATCACCAGAATGAGGCCAATCAATTCCAGATCATCCATATGTCCTGTTCCCCTCTACTCACTTTTTCAACTGCATGGAAGATATGGTCATAGACGTCTGCTTGCGTATAAACTGCATGGGTATCGTCTGATCCATCTGCATAGTTCTTCAGGAAGAGATGTTTAAATGTAATAGTGTTCTCCTCTTTGAATGTTACCACCATCTGATTGCTGAGCCCAAAGAGAATGAGCTGTAGAAGAGAAGGCAGAACAAGCTGAAGAAAATCAAAGAATTACAAAACCTTAAAAATTGCCAAAAATGTGATGCCTCTGATAAGTAAGTTCATAGCATCACCAGCCATGTCCTCTTGCACCCTTGGAAGGCCAGAGAAAGTCCAATCCTTGGCTGCAGGAAAGACACCTTCCCCTCTCAAGGAAAAGTGAAAACTGCTCAGGATAAACTGTGATTGATTTTTTAAAAAGACTAGACAAAAGCTATCTGAGACTTTGCTCCAAGTTTGCATTTTCTTACACACCTGAATGGTGACTATTAGGATCTTGATCACTTGAAGCACCAATTTAAATGGCTTCCGACCTTTGGCACGAAACTTGTCACAGGGGCTCATGAAGTAATATTTGAGACGCCTTCGGAATTCTTCCTCTTCTGGGTGAAAGGCAGTAGATCCTAAGACTGGCCTCATATCCCCATCATGAGACCCATAACTATTCACTGGGGTCAGCAGCTTTTCTGTCTCTGCAAAAAAAGGGAACATAGACTCATAGAATCATAGGACTGGAAGGGGTCTTCTAGTCCAGCTCCTTGCTCATGGCAGGAGCCTTATACAATAAAATGGTTATCCAGTCTATTTCTGAAAACCTCCAGTGATGGAGCAGCCATAACTCTGGGAGGTAAACTATTCCATTAATTGTTCTCAGTATCAGAAAATTTCTCCTTACTTCTAGATTGGGTTCTCTTTTAACAACCGTCTGCCCAATACTTCTTGACCTCCCTCAGGTGCTTTGGAGAATAAGTCAATCCTGTCTTCTCTGTGACAGACCTCGAGTACTGGAAGACAGCTATCATGTCCCCTTTAAACCTTCTCTAAAGGCATAGGCTAAATATACCTAGCTCCCACAACCATTCATCATATGATTTTGCCTTCAGACACTTTATCATTTTTGTTGCTCTCCTCTGCACACTTGCAGGGTCTCAACATCTTTTTTGTATAACTATGACCAAAAATGGACACAGTATTCCAAGTATGGCCTCACCAGCACAGAATAATACAATTTTATCACTTCCTCTAATTTTGATGTTATCCCTCTGTTGATGCAGCCCAGGACTAATTGGCTTTTTTGGCAGCTACAGCACATTGCTGGCTCATACTTAAGCATTGATCCACTAGGACACCTAGATCCCTCTCACAGTTACTACTGTTGAGCCAGGTAGAACTTATTCTGTATCTATGTATGGCTTTTCCTGCCTAAGTACAGGACTTTATTTTTCTCTCCACTGTTGTTAGATAGGTCCCAGTGTTCAAATCTGTCAAGATCCTTCTGGATTTTGAGCCTATATTCCAAAGTGTTGGCTGTTCCCCCCCAGCTTGGTGTCATCGGCAAATTTGATGAATTCCCCTTCTATCTCCTCATCTAAATTGTTTATGAAGATGTTGAAGACTACTGGGTGCAAACAGAACCTTGGGTATTTGACTGCATATTTCCCTCCATGTAAATGTAGTTTCATTGAGGATTACACTTTGAGTGTGGTTTGTCAGCCAGTTACGAATCCATCAAGTAGTAAAGCTATTTTTCCCACATCTTATCAAGAATCCTGTAGGCTGTGGTCTACTTTATCAAATGAAGTCCAAGTACACTATGTCTATCACATTTTGCTAGTCTGCTAATGTAGTTACTTTATCAAAAAAGGCAATAAGGTTTGTCATGATCTGTTTTTTACAAACGAACAGAACATGTCTCACTCCACCTTTACATATTAAGAAAGAGGGATAACATTAATTTATATAATCTAGAAATCTGCAATATTAACCAGGTTAAAAGTGCAAAACATCCAAACTCACTACTATTATCTCTGCTATCCAAATAATTCCATCATAGTCTGGATTAATCTAATTATCCTAAGAAACATAAGAAACATGCCCTAAAACTTCTTTCCTCCTTACCCATCTTGAAGTTTTAAAGTCAGCTGCTAACAAATCTTTTCACAAAACCAAGTTTGTGACTTAGTGGAGCTTCTTGTTCCCTGCGAGGCATGCAATTTGTCAGTAGTGACCTAAAAGCAAACATAATATAAGACCAATACTTGTTTTGAGAGACCGTGCCAAATTATATATGTCATTGCCAAAACCATCAGCTCTAAAATGCAAGCAGGCAAAGCAATCTCTCCCACAAAACTATTCATTTTACTGCTGATATCACATGTAGGAAGCCCAGTTCAACAATCCTTTGATGCTAAGGAGAACCAATAAGATGAATCAGCAGCAAAGAGAAGCAGAACCATTTTCAATTAGAGTTGTACTTTTTTTTCAAGTGCTAAAAAACATTCCCCACAGAAGTAAATTGCTGAATGGCAAACCAGAAGCTTTGCACCTTGAACAAATGAATGACAGTACTGCATATCCCTGACAGCAGAAATATCCATGTTAAATTTAAGTGAAATGTTTTGAAAAGTTCTGCAAGCCAAAAAGAACTTAAGCTCAAGCAAAAATGTAGAAATCATCTTAGAAGATGGCTCTGGCATAGTACATTTTTATTACTAAGGAAACTATACAGGGCTATAGTATTTGTGTAGTTTCCAGAAATTAAGCTCAACTCAGGGAAGCCTTTACCTTTAAGATTCTTAAAGCAATATACACAACTCTTTCCCATCCTGTTTATCTTTACAACAACCCTGGGAGAGACATTAGACTGAACCTATAGCCACTCAGGGGTTTAGCCCATCACCATTCAATAATTTTATATCTAAGTGGAGATTTAAAAATTCATCTTGCTAATCTTCAAACAATGTTCAGCTATTACACTTTACTCAGTCTCAAGCAATGATATATCTCTTTCTCCCCAACCTGCATCTGTAGCAGTGAGGTCAGATTCTCTATTACTTGTTCTGCCTATTATCTACTATTAGAGGGTTGACTCATTTTAAATATCTATGGATTGTCTTATTAATGTGAATATCTGTTAAATGTTTCTCATAGGTCAGTGGTGGCGAACCTATGGCACGCGTGCCAGAGGCGGCACTCGGAGCCCTCTCTGTGGGCACGCGTGCCATGCCCCGGAGATGGCAACCGTCCTCTTCAACCAGCCGCCCGCTAACTTGCTGAGGTCCCACGTGGCCGGATGCATCCCAGCATCCATGCGCTTGCTGGCCTTTGTGTGCGGGGCCGATGGTGTCAGGCAGCAGCCGCCCCGGCCCCTGCCTTGCCTTGCCCAGCGACATGGCACCCCCGCCCTGCCTCGCCTCAACCCACAGAACCAGCCTCCTGCCCACCGCCCCACCCGCCAGAGACCCCTGGATCTCCCCCAACCCTGCCCGGTCCCCACAGGCATTTCTCCCCAGGAGCAACATCGAGCTGGCCATGCCCACTCTGGCCATGCCTACCCGTCTGCCATGACCACTGTAGCCACGCCCACCCAGCGGGCCATGCCCACCCGGCAATACATAAGTGGGTTTTGGGTTGAAGTTTGGGCACTCAGTCTCTAAAAGGTTCGCCATCACTGTCATAGGTCACATAATCAGTTGCAAGAAGGAATACTGAGAACCATACTTTATTGCAAAGATTGATTGTTGGATGCCTGCTTTACAAGAAAGAGGGATCTTGAACAATGAAAAAGCAAAGATTTGTATAGGCTACAAGGTGGGAAATCCTAAGGATCTGATTTCCTGGCCAGTTTGGGCAAGCTAGGCAGGTCCTTGTCAGTGTAGCTGGTTAGTTCTATGGTTAGACAAAATGGATTTTTCAGGAGGGAAGCAGAGTTGGGAAAGTCTACAATTAAAGGAGATGGACTACTGAAGTCATCAGCTGATGGAGGATAGAAGGTGACAGTTTCCTTGTACAGGTTACTCTTGGGCTGGACTGTGAGCTGGTGAGGAGGTTTTAGTTTTTTGCGTTGATGAGATTGTCTGGGACAGGGAAGGACAATTTGCATCTTAGGCAAAGTGGGAGGGCAAGTAGAGAGCACATTTTATTAAGATTTTTCCACTATGCATATCAATAACTTATTATGGATCAAATGACTATAAGAAATGTATTTTTCCCTCTCTCTATTCATCCAACATATGTATGAATAAGTCTAGCACATTTATATTAACTTAATCTATTTATTTGTTCTCAGTGGAAAAAAGGAAAGGATTATGGGGGGAGCTTCAGGTCCTTCTTTTCTCTTACAATGAAAGCTTCACAGAGCTTTAAATCTTTTCCGTGTTCTGTAACCAATAACTGTTGATAATGAATAATCATGTCATGTATCTGATTAACGAAACACTTCAAAGAACTTTCAGGCATTTTTTTTAACCTAAAAAGCCTTTATTAGTATTACAGAGTGTCAGCAAGGCATGGTGGAATGCTAAGATCTGAATTTCCCTTCCTTTGCACATAACATTCCAGGCATTTCCCCTCCCCTATTTTGGGGTCATGATTCACATCTTCCAATTAACTTGGAGGGCAAAGATTCACTTCCGTTTCTTTTTCCCGGGCTTTCCTTATATTCTCCTCCCCTTTCGCTGTCACCTGATTTAACTCTAAAAATACCAGACAGTTCTGCATATATTGTCAAAGCAAGAATATTCAATATTAGCAGCGTTGACAAATCAATTACTAGGCTTCTAAAAGATCTTTAGAGGCTTTCTAGAGTAGCTTCACTATTTGATGGAATGCCATGACCTTTGAACCTGTTACTGCAGCAAGTTAAATCTGATCAGTACTTCTATCCCTTCTGGAGAGCCATTATAAGAACTGACATTCCTGCAGAATAGAGAAACACACTGCAACCCAAAAACCTGCCAAATGCAGGATTTGGGCTGCTGAAATGTCTCTGCAGTAAAGAGAGATTGCAAAATTACCCACAAGTTACTTCATACAGCTGGGTTTTTGTGAGCAAATGTCAGGAACTGTGTTTTGTGGTCAACTTATGATAGGTTGGAGTGGCAGGATTCCATTGTGCTTATAGCTACTAAAGTTGCCTATATGGATTTTATGTTCAACTGAGGTTCATCTCTTAAACGCTTTTAGCTGATTAATTTTTTAGTTTTTTCCTTTGGCTTTTGTTTTTTAAATTGAGAACTTGCAGACTAGCAAGTTCTATTGAAATCACTGGGTGTGTCTCCTTCAATCCTTCAAAAAGGTTTAACTATACAGTACATTCAGAAAGTATTCAGACCCCTTTACTTTTGTCAGTTTTGTTATGCTGCAGCCTGATTCTACAGTTGTTGAAATTCATTTTTTTCTCATTAATCTACACTCAATACCCCATAATGACACAGGGAAAACAGAATTTTAGAAATGTCTGTAAATTTATTAAAAACTGAAATATCACATTGGTATAAGTATTCAGACTCTGCAACAACACTTGAAATTTAGTTCCGGTGCCTCTTGATCGTTGCTGACATGTTTCCACATCTTGACTGAAGTCTACCTGTAGTCAATTAAATTCATTGGACATAATTTGGAAAGGCACACACCTCTCTATAGAAGGCCTCACAGCTGACAATGCATAGTGTAGCAGAGCAAAAGTCATGAGGTCAAAGGAACTGCCTGCAGAGCTCAGAGACAGGATTATTGCAAGGCACAGATCTGGGGAAGGCTACAATAAAATTTCTGCTGCACTGAAGTTTCCTAAGAGCACAGTGGTATCCATAATTCTCAAATGGAAGAAGTTTGGCACAACCAGGACTCTTCCAAGACCTGGTTGCCCGGTCAAACTGAGTGATTGGGGGGGAGAAGGGCATTAGTAAGAATGATGACCAACCACGCGATGGTCACCCTGACTGAGCTCCAGAGATCCTGTATGGAGCTGGGACAGAGTTCCAGAAAAACAACCATCACTGCAGCCCTCCATCAATCTGGGCTTTATGGCAGAGTTGCTAGACGGAAGTCTCTCCTCAGGGCAAGACATGAAAGCCTGCTTGGAGTTTGCAAAAAAGCACCTAAAAAACTCTCTGGTCTGATGAAACCAAGATTAAACTGTTTCACCTCAATTCTAAATGTTATTGTCTGGAGCAGGGGTGTCAAACTCGATTTCATTGAGGGCTGCATCAACATTGTGGTTGCCCTCGGGGGACAGTGGGGGGTGTGGCCAGGAGCATGGCCAGGTGGTCACAGCCGACTGGGTGGGCATGGCTGGGGTAGGCGTAGCCAGCTCATGTCGTTCACGGGGGGCTGTGGTGGGTGAGAGGGATCCAGGGGTCTCCGGTGGAGGTTTGGACAGGGCAGGCGCCAGGGCCTGATCCCACTCGGGCTGCATGGGGCAGCAGCATGGGCTGCCTGGGTCCCTGGACAGCGGGCACCCAGAACGACCCATGAGCTCCCAGGGCACTCGCTGGAAGACGAGGTTGGACGTCAGGGGCTGAGCATGCAGGGGCTGTGGCATGGTGGTGACGGCGACCAGCTGGGCAGCCTTGTCGCAGCCCCATCGTCTGTCTTTACTTGCACATGGCCACCATATCTGGGATGATGCAGGCAGTTGCGCGGCCCCCGGTGCATCCAGCAGGCCAGATCACGTACCTCCCCCTGCACCTCTGTCTTTGTCTGCTGCTTGGAGGTCTAGCCCGGCGGTTGCGGCACTCTGACTCACCTGCGCTACACAGTCTGCGGAATCTTGGCTGCCTCTTAGGGACAGGGGCTCCCTGCGCTTCCTATTTGCCAGGCCATTGCAGTTGGGGTGGCGAGTGCCAGGCTTGTCCCACCTGTGCAGTGGAGCTGGAGGATGAGGTTGGATAGGGGGGCCAAGTGTGCAGGGGCCATGGCCTCGCCCCATCACCTGCCCAATATCACCCCAACAGCGAAGCATGGTGGCAGAAGCACCATGCTGTGCGGGTGTTTTTCAGCATCAGGGACTGAGATACTGGTCAGGGTTGAGGGAAATCTGAATGGAGCAAAATACCAGGGATATCCTCAATGAAAACCTGTTCAGGACCTGACTGGGCATTTGTTTATTTAATATGGAGAGATGTTAATTTAGAGATGGATTAATAGGGAATAAGGTGAAGTATGGAAGAGATGTTTGGTTGTATTTTAAAAGATGATAATTTTTAAATTATTATACTTGCTAGGTATGAAGAGGAAGGTTTCTTTTACTATTTTTCTTTCCCTTTTTTTCTTTTTCTGTACCTGAATGTTTTTTAAAGATATATTGGTATTATTAGTTACATTAGTTTTATTGGTATAATATAATCTTTAATAACATTATTGGAAAAAAAGTAATCAATACGTCCCTGCAGTAACATCCTGCACTGGTGTTATCAGTGATCTATTTCAAGAAGTCTGTCTACTCACTAAGCAATCCCAGGTTCAAAACCTATTAAATATTAAAGCTAAGAATTTGAAAGTTTTGAGTCATCCAGAATAGTTTCTGAAAGTTTGAGGGCCGGGGTGAGGGAACAAGTTGAAAAATATGAAGAAGACTAAGATGAAGAGAAAAAGAACTAAACATTTGATTTAATTCTTAAAAGAACTTGGATTGCTTAACTCAGTTCAGAAGGTGATTTCACAGACACATCTCAGCATTTTTCTTGCTAACAACAGGAGGATGATTGTCTTCTGAGGATTGGAGGAGGGGAGGGAAGGCTTCTCAGTGTAGGGTTTCTTGTTTTTTCTCATTTTAGTCGTAATCTCTAATCTCATTTATCTCAAATCTGTGAAGTCAGCTAGGTGCTACTGTCTAACTGGATCAACAGTCTCTAGATACTCATTTGCTATATTCATATTTTACTGCTTGTTTTCACCATTCAGGAGTGGATTGTATTCATCTCCCTCCCGTTGCAGTGACAATCCAAATCAGCCACCCACAAAAGCTGGAAAGAAAGAATAATTTAGAATAACAGGGTTGGAAGGGACATTGTAGGTCATCTAGTCCAACCCCGTATAGGCAGGAGACCCTATACTATTTCGGGCAAGTGGCTGTCCAGTCTCTTCTTGAAAATCTTCAGTGATAATAATAATAATAATAAACTTTATTACGGTCATAGACCAGCAATAGCCATCACTTTTTACAATATATTAAATAATAATAATAATAATAATAGTAGTAGTAGTAAAAATAGTACTAACATTAATAGTAAATAATAACATCCTTGTTAAGAAAATACATGTTCTCAAAATGTTAGAAAATCTTCAGTGATGAAGCACCAACAACTTCTGAAGGCAAGCTGTTCCACTGGTTGATTGTTCTGTCAGAAAATTTCTTATTTCTAGGTTAAATCTCTCCTTGATCAGTTTCTATCCATTGTTCCTTGTCTGGCCTTCAGGTGCTTTGGAAAAGAGGTTGTCCCCTTCTTCTCTGTGACAGCCCCTCAAATATTGGAACACTACTATCATGTCACCCCTAGTCCTTCTCTCTTCACTAAAATATATGAAGAACAGTTACATAGCCATGCCCAGTTCTTGTAACTGTTCTTCATATATTTTAGCCTCCCAGGCCCCTAATCATCTTTGTTTCTCTTCTCTGTACTCTTCCTAAAGTCTCAACATCTTTTTTATTGTGTGGTGACTAAAACTGGATGCAGTATTCTGGGTGTGGTCTTATTAAGACTTTATAAAGTGATACTAGTACCTCACATGATCTTGATTCAATCCCTATATTAATGTAATTTAGGATTGCACTGGCTTTTTTGGCTGCTGCTGCACACTGCCGATTCATATTTGATTGATTGTCCACTAGGACTCCAAGATCCCTCTCACAGTTACTGCTATTAAGCCAGGTTTCACCAAACCTGTATGTGTACTTTGGATTTTTCTTGCCTAAGTGTAAGACTTTACTTTTCTCTATGTTGAATTTCATTTTGTTAGTTGGGCCCAATGTTTAAGTCTGTCAAGATCCAACTGGATCTTGAGCCTATCATCTAGGGTGCTGGCTATTCCTGTCAGCTTAGTATCATCTGCAAATTTGATGAGCTCCCCTTCTATTCCCTAATCTAATTCATTTATGAAGATATTGAAGAATACCAGGCCTAAGACGGAAACTTGTGGCACCCCACTGCTTACTTCTCTCCATGTAGAAGTAGTACTATTAAAGACTACTCATTAAGTATGGTTTGTCAGCCAGTTACAAATCCATCTGGTGGTGATGTTGTCTATTCCACATTGTTCTAGCTTACCAAGAAGTAGGTTGTGGTCTACTTTGTCGAATGCCTTGCTGAAGTCCAAGCATTTCACTGGTCCACTAATTTAGTCACTTTGTCAAAGAAAAAAATAAGATTGGTTTGGCATGATCTATTTTTAACAAACCCATGCTTGCTTCTAGTTATAATTGTATTTGTTTCTAGATGTTCACAGATCTGTTTTTTATTATTTTTTCTAGTATCTTCTCAGGAACTGATGTTAGGCTGATTGGTCTGTAGTTTCCTGGGTCTGGTTTTGTTTTTTTCCCCTTTTTTAAAGATGGGAATCACATCAGCTCTTTTCCAATCCTCGGGTAGTTCTTCAGTGCTCCATGATTTTTTAAAGATATGATACAATGGTTCTGAGATGACATCCTTCAGAACTTTTGGATGTCGTTATAATTAATGTCCTGATAATAAATTAATCAAGCTCAGACAGGTGTTCTCTTACTATTTTCTTGCTTATTTTAATTTTTATTTCTAGTCTGTCTTTTACAGTTATGTTTTTGGAGGGTTGGGCTATCGTTTCTTTTTGGTGAAGACCGATGCAAAGATTTAAGCAGCTCTGCTTTCTCTCTAATGCCTATTACTTCGTTGCCATCTTCTTTCTTTAGTCTGTTTCAGTTGAGGAAGGAAGGAAGGAAGGAAGGAAGGAAGGATCTAAAAGTGAAGCCCCAAATTGCATCTGATCTGACCTTAAGTAAATGCTTCATATATAGAGTAGCATGCCACAGCAGAATGGGGGCTCAATACTTTAAGATGGCTTTCACAATTGTATCCCCAACTTTTACACTGTCCTACCTTCTTAAACAGCTTATCCATACAGTATATGTAGGGATGATAAGTGCTGTAGTCCCGTACATTTTGAGGATATGAAGCTTTGCAAGGCTTCGTTGCTGAAGACACCACACTCTTTTTAATACACTACCAAATCCGGGAACATTAATTCATTCTTTTTTAAAACCAGCATGAAGTAGGATCGCTCTCTCACTGCCCTGCAAACCTTTTGGATTTCTAATAGATGGAGTGGAAAACCTATCACTCTCCGCATATAACCTATATGGCTGAATGCTCTCTGAAAGAGATATATCCTGCTGCTGAGTTCGAAGCATCAACTAAATATAATTTGTAGGTTTTTTTAAAAAAAAATTAACAGTGGATTGTCACTCCAGTTACCCTTTTGCACCAGATGGACCATAGAAGTCAGGCAGAATGACCGAAGGGGCTCCTTACCAATTTTCTGTCGCGGATCTTCTCTTATCTTCGGGGAAGCCCATAAGGAATGGGGCTGCCTCGCTGCCGGCCCCTTGAAAGTATAAACAGTGTCTCCAAACATCCGGTCATGAGGCTAGTGTTGGCAGCGGCAGGGCTGCCGCCAGCTTCGTCACGCGCCAAGGGAAAGAGAGCATAGAGATAGAAAAAGAGGTAGAAAGACAGCGCGAGAGCAACTTGCTAGTCAGTTGTGACGTGGTGCTGGATTCTTCTTGTGGTCAAGCCTGACTTTAAAGTTTAAAGTTTTATTTTGCCTCAACTTCGAGGGGAGTAAAAACTTTATTACAGACAAGAGACCGCAGCAAGAAATTAAAACAAAACCACTACTATGTAGGCCAATAACAATCCGGAAGGGACATTACCCCTAGCTTAGTAAAGATGTTAGCTCATGTCAGGCTTGAAGTACTCCAAGTCAGAATTTGATTACATCGTGTGTAATATTTCAAGTCCTATAAGATAATAGAAGGGAGATACAGTGGTTTTCTTAAGCTTATTTCAGATGTTCATATAAAATTCGTAGTGTTTCTCAACCTCAGCAACTTTTAAGATGTATGAACTTCAGCATCCAAAATTCTTCAGTCAGCCATGGCTAGCTGTTTAATCTCCATAACAGCACATCTGTATCTTATAAAAATCTTATTAAACTTGACCTCTAGTGAAACAGATGACAGGCTTTGGAGAAGTCTGCATTTTCTAGAGAGTTGCAGGATTCTCAGGTAAGTAGCTAGCTTCATATTAATCTCTAAACTCATGGATATCTGCAAGGAATGCAAGTGATGTTATATGCATCATGATGCAGAATATTTACCTCATTTGCATGATGTCATGATGCATGTTGCATAGTGGGTTTTTGGAGGCATTGACCAGGCCGGTTTAATGCAACATTATTTATTGCAACAGAAACAGAACTAGCTTAACCGGCAGAATGACGGCTATTTATACTTGCCGCCTCTAGGTGGCGACCAATCAAATCAAATGGTGTTTTCCCGCTCAAACTTAAACTTAACTTTCCCTCCAAAATGGTTGGAGAAACCTTTAAACTAAAACACATCAACTCTTAATATCATTACATAACACCCCTTCCCCCTGGATAAAATGACTTCTTGTATACTTGATGTATATCAGTGGCTCTCAACCTTTCTAATGCCGCGACCCCATAATACAGTTCCCCATGTTGTGGTGATCCCCAACCACTTATACATAGCTGGGTGCCAGGGGCGTGGCCAAGTGGGTGTGGCCACCAAGTAGGCGTGGCCACCATGTTGTGGTGACCCCCAACCATAAAATTATTTTCATTGCTACTTCATAACTGTAATTTTGCTGTTGTTATGAATAGTAATGTAAATATCTGATATGCAGGGTGTATTTTCATTGTTACGAATTGAACATAATTAAAGCATAGTGATTAATCACAAAAACAATATAGCAATGCTTGCTGGAGAAGCTTACTCTTCCTTGCTCAAAAATGTTGGGAGGGAGGGAAGGGGAAGGAAGGAAGATTGAAAATGAAAGGAAGGAGATGGAGAAGGAAGGAGATTGAAGGGGGAAGGAAGGAAGGAGAGAGAGATTGAAGGGGAAGGGATGGAGATGGAAGGAAGGAAGGAAGGAAGATTGAAGGGGAAAGGAAGGAGATAGAGAAGGAAGGAGGAAGGAAGGAGAGATTGAAGGGGAAGGGAAGGAAAGAAGGAAGGAAGGAAGGAAGGAAGGAAGGAAGGAAGGAAGGAAGGA